ACAATGTAAGTCACTCACCAATGTATCCAGTCAATATATATCACAATGTAGTCACTCACCAATGTATCCAGTCAATATATATCACAATGTAGTCACTCACCAATGTATCCAGTCAATATATTTCACAATGTAATCATTCACCAATGTATCCAGTCAATATATATCACAATGTAGTCACTCACCAATGTATCCATTCAATATATATCACAATGTAGTCACTCACCAATGTATCCAGTCAATATATATCACAATGTAGTCATTCACCAATGTATCCAGTCAATATATATCACAATGTAGTCACTCACCAATGTATCCATTCAATATATATCACAATGTAGTCACTCACCAATGTATCCAGTCAATATATATCACAATGTAGTCACTCACCAATGTATCCAGTCAATATATTTCACAATGTAGTCATTCACCAATGTATCCAGTCAATATATATCACAATGTAGTCACTCACCAATGTATCCAGTCAATATATATCACAATGTAGTCACTCACCAATGTATCCAGTCAATATATATCACAATGTAGTCACTCACCAATGTATCCAGTCAATATATATCACAATGCATATTTGCATATACACAGTCAGTATACACTCTCTGTATCCACCAGACCACGCTCCTAATCTAACAAGTCATGAATGACACTGCCTTCGCTAGTTGTCATTCTAAAGTTGCATGGACATAAATTGGCAAACGTGATTTCTATGGCATTTTCAAGTTTATACCACTCTCCATCCAGGTCAGCATTATTCTCAGCAAGAAAACCAGATAGCACCAAACCAGTACAACAGGTAAAATGACAAGGAAGTATACAAATCAGATCTGCAAATATGTCAGTGTTGTGTCTGTTTGGATAAACTAGTTTGTGGCCCTGGATTAGTTTCAATATCTCTAAAAAGGACAAGATTACTTCTCATATGACAATGATACAAATAAAGTGCAAAAATCCAGAAAAATATTATCAAGTTTTTATTATCATACATTAATATTAACAAATCGTGTGAAACTTTATGTACAGAGAAACACATATTTATGCTTTGGTTGACAGAACTTCTTAAAGTAAAAAAAAAGAGGACCTGCAAAACTTTATACAATTGTCGGACACGCAGTGAATAGTACCGGTATGTTTTTGTAATACATGCAGTTTCAGTGGCTTTGCTGTCTGAGAAAAAAAAATCTGCCTATGCACCTGAAAAAACATTTAGCCCAAAGTAAGTAGAGGTTGTAGCAAAAGTGCTCCCATTGGCTGTTAGATTTAATTAAAAAAGATATTTGAGTCTTTTTAGTACGAAAAAATATTACTTAATAAATTTATACCAGCCAGAAAGAAATTGCAGTTCACACTGTACTATTTTAAACATGTTCTACCAAAGTCTAGGATGAACTAATTCAACAGTCTGTTTCCACTCTACAAAGTTGTCAAATTAATATTTACGGGATTAAGAATGTGCAAAAAGCCACTTGAGCTGAACCAAATGGATGCCAAGCTCTCAAAAGAAATAAAAAAATAACTATTGAGAAAAATACAAACAAATTTAATATAAAAGCAGATAGAAGTGCATAAAAAACTAATCAGCAGAGG